TATGGTGTTGGAGAAGAATATTAAAGGTACTGCCCGAATACTTCTGAAAGGCCAGAATGTTGACTCTTCATCTTTTATACTTCAGACATATTATCAGGAGAAACTAGTCCCTGAAGAAGGACATCATGCTTGCTAAAGTGGAGCATCAGCAAAAAAAGAGGAAGACCCCTAACGAGATACATTGGCACATTGATATAAGCAATGGGCTCAAGTGTAACGACAAGTGTGGGGATGGCCTAGAACCAGGTAGTGTTTCATTCTGTTGTACATAGCGTCACTAGGAGTTGGAACCAACTCAATGTCATTTAACAATAACCAGCAGGTGGCACAGTGCCTAGAATTTAACCATCGCAAACATACTTGTGGACTGTTGGGTGAATTTTTAAGATTTTAACATCTGGACCATGAAGTAAAGCCAGAACAGCCTCACTTTGACAGCAGAGCTAGCAGGAGACTCACCTGACAGCTTACATCCATCCCTGCTTCCAGCAGCACCTGTACAACTGCTTTGTGTCCATTGCGCGCTGCGAGGTGCAAAGGTGTGTGCTTGCGGGTGTTGCAGCTCATCAGGTTAGGGTGTGCACTGATGATCATTTTGACCACTCTAAGCCGGCCATAGAGCGCTGCCAGATCCAAAGGTGTTTCAAGCTTGCTGTTCCTGATTGTAGGGTCGGTGAGCTCTTCCAGAAGAACAGAGACTACCTCTGAGTGGCCGTACTGAGCGGCGCAGTGTAGAGCAGTCTCATTTTCATTATTCTGTTTAAGAAAAAGATAAAGCAAGTTTTCAGAAATTCCTTTGGTCATCGCAATGTAAACGCAGCTGAGTTAAAACCTAAGACACTTTGGAAATCTTAGTAAACTAAACCAAAAACAGCCATCAAGTCGATTCTGACTCATAGAGCGTTTCCAAGACTGTAACATTATATGGAGCAGACAGTTTCATCTTTCTCCTTCAGAGTGGCTGATGGATTTGAACCACTGACTTTGTGGTTAGCAGTCTAATGCCTACCTCATATCATCACCAGGGCAAATTTTCAGAAATCCACTTAGTTATTACCACAACCTAAATACAGAGTTTTGCTAAAGGTAATACAGAAATGGCTACAATCATACATTGACAGAAAAGTTCCAGAGGTTCAAGCCAGATTCAGAAGAGGCCGTGGAGTGGGAGATATTATTGCTGATGTCCGATGGATCTTGGCTGAAAGCAGAGAATACCAGAAGGATGTTTACCTGTGCTTTATTGACTACTCAAAGGCTTTCGACTGTGTGGATCACGACAAGCTATGGACAACACTGAGAAGTATGAGTATTCCAGAACACTTAATTGTGCTCATGAGGAATCTGCACCTGAACCAGGAAGCAGTTGTTCGAACAGAACATGGGAACACTAAATGTTTTTAAATTAAGAAAGGTGTGCGACAAGGTTGTATTTTTTC